TAAACTTTTAATAAAATAAATATTTGAATATAATATAACCATTTCAGTTTAGAAAACAAAATTCCAAAAAATCAATATAAACATTTATATCAATACAAACTTTAGCAAGTGATTAGAATACAAATATTTTTGGGTGAATTAGGGGAATAATCATATTGAGAAGGGAAATGAAGAATATAGCCATATGATTTCTGAAATTCAAAAAGTAAGCAAACACCGTTTTTTTTTTACGATTTTATCCTTTTAACACAAATTGCTGTCTCTATTTAAAATTAAACTATACTACATAATTATGAAAGATAGTATAGACTTGTAAGAAAAAACGAAACAAACTCAATATAAAAACCCAATAGTATAAAACAAAGTAATAGAGAGCACAAATTCGGACGTTACCTAAATAACTAAAGTAACCTAAGCTTAAACCGGATTTATTCGGACGTTAAAAACACCCAGTCTATCCCCAGAATTTTGGTTCAGATCAGACCGGACTAAATATCTTCAAATCTTCTTGGGTTTAGGTGTACCGGAGCACCATAAAACCAGTGTTAAATATTTAAACGACACACGTGGCTGTATATCAGTGGGTGTACTAACTATCCTTACGATGAGCTCGATCACTGCTGATAAAAAGTTCCAATATGACAGAAATAATAATTGTTTATTCTATTTTTTTTTTTTTCAAACATATCTTGGCAATGTCTGAAAATTTTGATATTTGAAGCCTAGCAATTTGATCGTGAAGGGTTTTTTGTTTTGTTTTTATCGTCCTGCGTGAATCTAACCTTGGTCGGTACGTATATCTGGTCCAAATCGTTCAAAAAACTCCTGCTTTTGTTGTTTGATTTTCGATTTTCATGAACTTTGAATCCCTGTGAAATACTTCCGCGATTGAAATTGATTCTGGCGATTGGAGGGGTTTGATTCAACTAAAAATCCGATTTTTTCGTCGAATTTCACAGAATTAGTTGATCTTAGGTCTTCAAATGGAAGTTTCTTTGAATGTAGAAGTAGAATTGAGGTCTGATTACGAATTTGATAGGTGAAAACAAAATTCGAGATTTTTTTATGATTACTTTCTTGGAATGTTTTCTTCAGTTAATTGAAGATTAGCTCAAAAAGTCTTGCTCTTTGATTTTCTTTTAGTGTTAAGGTTTCTTGTAGAAGGACAAGAAGCTCGAGAAGATACGTTATCAATGGCAGACATACCTAGACACATTCGAGCTTGTTTAGATATGGGGAAGATAGCTTTCTTGGCAATCCTAGTATCGGGAGGGATCGTGTTGCAGATTCTGGTATCCCGAGAAATTCTTACAAGTTTTACTGTTCTGTGTTTATGCTTAGTATATTCATACTTGTGTATAAACCCTATTTTCCTCTAATTATGTTCCAGGCTTGTGCTCTGTTTGATAACTGGTGGCCAATGCTAAGTGGTGAGTTATTTCTCTCGCTCGCTCAGCCGATATCTGTTTGTCGGTGAACATAACTTGCCTGGCTTGATCTTTAACCGTTTTGACTGTTAGTTCAACTTGAAAGAACTCCATTTTATGATTGTGTTTGTAGTTTGAATCTTGGTTTTATATCATATGGTAATATGGCTTTTAGCTTCTTGCTTGTGATTATTCATTTTCTTTTTTGTTGGCAGTGATAATGTATGTGCTTATCCCAATGCCATTGCTCTTCTTCGCTGGATCAGACAGTACGTCTCTCTACAGCGACTCAGACAATAGGTGCGGAATTTATATATAAGCCTGGATTGTTTGTTTCCGTTTGCACGTTTACGTTTAGTGTCTGTTTTATCCAAATGAACGCGTAATCTTAATCATCTTAAGCAAAATTCATTTGTTAATTGTAAATGTAAACATCAAACGCAAACAGAAGGAGAGCCTCCCATTTGCAATTGGCGTTTGCACATTTGCAAAAATGGGTTCTTTTTCATATGAAGCGCCAACACGTTTGATACAGTCGAGGCCACATTCATTCTTTTTAATTGTTTACATATTCAAAACTCGCGAAAAACTTTTCATGATCATTTTTTCTTTGTCAGCTGGATCAATGCAGCCAAGTTCTTGACTGGTGCATCAGTAGTTGGAAGCATCGCAATACCTACCATTTTAAAACACGCTGGACTCATTGGATGGGGCGCATTAGCCTTTGATCTCTCGTCCTACGTTGTCTTCCTAGTCGCTATTCTATCTTACATTTGCATCGGAGATGGCAATGACGACTATTACAGCTTCATTTAAAACAAACACACAGATTCATCATCATTAGTTTCGAAGCTCAAAGTCTCAGCCTTTTACCACTTCCCGGTTCGGTTGATGCTTCGAAACGAAAACCTCTTGTTGGGACGGATCGATCAGCTGGTTAGTCACAAGAACTGATACGATTAGATTTTTCATGAGTTTAGTGTTTCTTGTTTCAAGTGTATGTATGAATGAATTGTTGTGTAAGATGAAATATGTGGTCAAATCTCGTTTCAGTGTATAGAAGATTGCAAATACTATATTAGTATGGTTTACTGATTTAAAATATCAAACATGTAAATTTCAGCCTTTTTTAAAGCTTCTCCTCTACTTCCACAGAGTAAGGTGGGC